AGAAGCCACAGCTACAGACAACGAAACTGAAACAATAAATTGTGGCGATGTTATATGGTGAATGTCAGGGGCATTATACGCTATATACAAAATGGGTTATAGATTGGTGGCAAGTGGCAGCTCCACAGCCACTGCAGTGGCAGCAATGAAGCTAGCGCGCGTGGTTGCACGAATCGGTAAGGTGGAGCAGACAGTTGTGCTGATGAGAGTGGCGGGCAATTTGGTGAGTGAGTAATTGCCGATGTAATCTTTTTTGGTAAGTTAATAATGATGAAAGAAAAACAACAAAAACAAAACCAAAACAAACTATCAAATGTTATTTTGACAATTGCCCTTGTTTGGGTTTGTTTTTTGTGTTTGCTTGCTAGTCGGTAGCGTTGCTTAAGTGGTGGTTGATAAATCGTAACAAATCAGCTTTGGTGTGGTACTTTTTTCGTTTGTTTTTTGTTTTTGCGAAATTTTAAACGAACTTGACTGCAGGAAGAGGTGATTAAAATACATATATATTTTTTCAAGTCATTGGCAAAAAGAAGACGTGAAGTAGTATATAAACAGCATTTGGCACTGATGCTATGCTTTATCTCGAAAATCTTTGAGCACAAAATGAGTATAGACAAGCTGATGCAACTTCCTGTTGAAGATAATAACCTAAAAAAAAACAAACTCGCCAACCAAGGCCCAATGAAGCTAACTATTTATAGATAATTTGTAGTTCATTGAAAGCGTTGGTTGAGGTGTATTTTGTAGGGAGATGGTTTTAGGTGAGTTTTTTTGCAATACGGAATTACCTTTACTAGCCGGGAAATTTATCCTATGCGGAATAAATACAGCCAGTTCCACAGAGTTTTGAAAATCTTTCTTTCTTAACTAAACTTTAGGAGGGTTGCCACCTGTTTTAAAATTTCAAATTAAATTTGAATTAAGGAAATTAAATAGGGGAAAAAATTCCAACACATGGGTGCCAAACGAAAGGCTGAGTCCCCTTTAGCAGTTTGAGAAAATATTTTGAAGTGGGTTGCCCCCTGCTTGAAATATCGAATTTAGTTAACTTATCCTAAAGTTATATGACATGTCAAAATATGGATGTCAAACGAAAGAGTGTTAAGAAGGCTTTAGTTTAAACATTAGGAATATTTTTCAGGTGTTGGAAGAGGGTTGCCACATGTCTAAAAATTTATTTCAAACTATTAAATAAGTTAAATGAATTATTAAAATATGGGTATCAATCGAATGGGTTTGCAAAATTTTACTTCTGAACTATAAGTAGCGGGGTTGCCACATGTTTAAAAAATAAAATTCAACTTAATTCATCAGTTAATAAAAAGCTGCCAGATATACAGTGGCGGCCAAAAATGGATGAATGGTGTTTCGTTTTTATTATTTTTAATGTTTTTCAAGCTACAATTTTTTTGATATTTTTTTATAAAAATATGGTTCATGCTTCAACAAAAGCTGCATAAGTCACACTTTTAAACTTTAAACAGAACTTAGAAAAATTCCACAAATTCGTGTCTAAATTTCGAGATTTTAAACCAGAATTTTTAGAAATTTTTTGGGTAAGCAGTTAACGAGCTTATGAAATTCGAATAAAATGAATGCAAATTTTGAGCGATTAAACAAAATGCATTGATTTAATGATTTTTTTGCTGACAGCGTTTTGTACTTTTTTCCACATAAATATGAATTTCTTATGGAAGAATATGAATATGCGCAGGACCGTTTGCAAAACAAATTAAAAAAACTTAATGCCCGTTTTCCTAAATTTCGCTATTTATATGAAAAAACCGTAAAAGCCGTCAGTAAAAAA